GTGTGTGTGTGTGTGTGTGTGTGTGTGTGTGTGTGTGTGTGTGTGTGTGTGTGAGAGCGATGGAGAGACTACAGTAGATGAGGAAAGCCCTCCTCAGTGAGCACAATTTGTCAGATGTCAAAAGAAAATGGGTAACGCTTTAGATTAAGGCTGATAATGGAAACTCCTCACTTGTAAAGCTGCGTGTGTAGGTGTGTGTGTGTAGGTGTGCGTGTGTAGGTGTGTGTGTGTGTGTTTGCTCCAACCTTTGTCCTTGGTTATTTTCTTGATGGGAGCAGCAGAGTTGGTCAGTGCAACGTCAGCATCAGCTGACACCAGTCCTGTTGAGAGAAAAGACATTTAATTATTATCTCATTATAAAATGAAGCAGAACCCCACATTAAAACAGTAAATATTCAATATTGATTCACCAGACTGCTTTAAAACTCACAACTGATTATCAGAATAGTGAGTAATATTTGAACCGACACCCTGGACCTGTAGAAGGAACTCTAATAGGCTCATTATGAAGCCAGATTTGGTTTTCCCCCTCCTGACGTATGAAGATGTGGTGTACGTTTTGTTGAGTGTTTCGTACCGAGTCTTTCAGGGGAGCTGGAGGCCGAGCTGCTGGGCTGCGACTGCAGAGGAGTGTTGTTCTCATCGACAGATGGAGACAGAGAGGGACTGTCACACACTCGTTCCTGAAAAAAAAAAAAAAAAGAGAGGCTGAGTCAAAGTTGGAGACGGAATGCTAAAAACTGATTTCTCCAGAAGACTGATCAGTCTTTTGCTCAACAAAATGTAAAACCAGAAGTTTTCAAACATTGCTTTTGTTTGGTCTTCCTGCATGGATCAGTCTGGGGTCCTTTCAGACCACACATTTAATACTCCTGATCCTGACATTGAGGCATGAACCCCACCTGTCCTTTTAAAGGTGATGGTTCTGCGGCTCAGAACAGTTTCAATCTCTCGCTTCCCAAAGATGTTTAGTACGACTGAAACCAGAAGTATTTAAAGGCTAAGAAAGCTTGTATTCTGGTTTCTTAAACCATTATCAAACCATTTCAGTGCGTCCCAGATAGAAAAATACATTAATTCAATGTTGAATTATGGTCAAAAAAGTTGAATTTTGGTTAAGGTCGATGGTTGATGGTGGATCAACCATCAAATAATCATCCCATTCTAGTCATGAATCAGTGCTGAAAAGATGTTATTGAATCAATGTTTTATGGTTGAATTCTAATGATTGAAATGCAAACATCTAATCAATGTTGAATCAACATTGATATCAGTTATAAGTGAAAACCATTGTTTCAACAAGTAAGTCACCAAACACCTTTTGTATAACTTCAACATAGATTCAATATCATGCCTGACCCATATTCAGTGTTGATCCACTCATATTTTGCTATCTGGGGTTGGAAGAGTCTAATATTCTGATAAAAGAAACAGATACATAAATCTCTACAAATGGAAGAACTCAAGATTTACCAAAAGAACTCCAATTGTTTTCTCTGAAACTTCACTTTAAGTCTGAAACAATGGACGGAAGGGGTGGGCTTCAGTGTCCGGTACTACCGTTTGCGGATGATGTGTTGCTGTTGCTGCCATATCTCTGATGTCCAGCTCTCACAGGAGCGGTTCAGAGAATAGCATCCAGGTTTTTCTATCAGTCTGAACTACCGTCGCTCTTTTATCGGACCTGATACCAGAAGCAGTCCTCGGTTCTCCATGATCCACAAACCCGTCAGAGATGTCCAACGGTTCTTGTGTGCGTTACCTTGATGACAGGTGCGCGGTGTACATGGGTGTGTATCTGCTGGGCCGCGGCCGCCATGTTCGCTATGGTGCTGAGGTGGTTCATCTGGGACATGGCCATGGCGACGGACGCCGGCGGGAGCCCCATGGGCAGCAGAGGGTGGGGCATCATCATGAACGGCAGGTCCAACCCTGAGAAGGAAGGAAGAGCATGACCCGTCAGTAAAACGCTGACATTGTTTCAGCCACTGTTTTCAACGCACAGCAATAACTCATCTGATTGTTTCGTTTGTGGATTTTTGTTCCGTGGCAATTTTTTAGGCAAATAGTTATTAATAAACCACATTATGTAGTTTCTGTGTTTGTTTTAGAAAAATGGCCTTAAGGCCCTGTCACACTATAACGTTTTAGACAACTTGTGCCAGCTTATGAAAAGTTTAAAGACCTCTACGTTGAATATGGAATTCAAAAAACCAACTGGAAGCCTCTTTTAGGCGTGTACTTACTGTAATACTAACAAATTGATCAAATACATAATTTTACTAGTAATGCAGGCATAAAGAAAATGTTATAAGTTGGCATAAGTTGTCTAAAATGTTGTAGTGTGACAGGGCATTTAGGAAAAGTAATCTTTTGCTCCTGCATCCTTGTTACTTTGTTCAAAACAATGTTTTGCTGTGTTCAGCAAGACAACGTCAGAAATTTAAGGCTCCTGCATACTCCCTCTGAAGCCAAACAGTCAATGCGCAGTCACATGGTTTTTCGTCGTTCATTTTCGCACACACCTTTCATAGTCCCTGAGACACCCCGCGCCGAGCTCCTGGGGAAACCCCTCCCGCTGCAGCATACATCACTACAGGGGGGGTTCCTCCCGCTGAAAGTCCACAATGCGGAAAAAAAAGTCAGAGACTCGTCACCCGATGTTATTTACCCACAAATCTGTCGCGGTTAAAGCTCCAAAGTTTTTATCAGTTAGATTCCATCATGCAAAACATCTGTTTTACCTCCATCCACACGTTTTTGGCTGTTTGACTCTCTCTATAAATCGCTGCTTGTAGGTACAACAGTCGGCTTCTGGAAGAGAGTCGCTTTTTTTTTAAGCGAGTGGTTTAAGCAAAATACAGCATCTGAGCGCTTTCAGCACAAACAAACACTCCCACAAACTTCTGACCAATCACACAGTAAAGTTATTGTGTGGAAGGGGGTAAAAGGTTTGGCCCGTGGGTTGTGTCGAGAAGCTGCTGAAATATCGACAACGCGAACAGAATGATGCAATTTACGTCAAGAAACTGTGACAATCTGAACCCATTTTGGCAGTTCTGAGGGAGTATGCAGGAGCCTTTAGTTTCTCCTTATTCAAAGAATAAATAAAAAACAGTTAGAAAATTGTTCCTGTAGTGAGAAACCCATCAGCCTTTTTAATGTGATGCTGTTTTGAACCAAACTTTTGTAATAAGATACAAGCTAAAAACACACAAACTGCTAATAGCCACTGTTGTGTTGCGATGCGTTAATGTAACACATTCTCACTCCCGACTCTTCAACATATTGACACTTTTCCAAAGTTCCCTCTGCGTCTTATTTTGACGCGTCTGGTGACCCCCCTCGCGTCAGTCCTTGCCGCCCGCGGCTTTTCCGAGTTGCGCCACCAGGGGTCTTTGGGTCGAGGGTCTGAGGTTAACATGAGGGATCAGGATAAATGGTTATGTTTAGGTACTGGGGTCAGGGATAGGATGTCTACAGCTAATATTAGGTAATTTTAGGCTTTGGGACACATACGTAGTTGACGTGAATTTCCTACATTTTCTAAAAATGGTTAATTTCAGGTATCAGGGTTGATGGTTAATTTTAGGTACTAGGGTCAGGGACAGGATGTCTAAAGTGAATAAAGGTAATTTTAGGCTTTGGGACGGTAGTTTTTGTGCATTTTCTACACTTTCAGAAATTATGACAACAGATTACGCCCCATCTCGTCAAAAAATGACGCAAGGGGAGTACCTGACGCGTCAAAATCGGACGCAGAGGGAACTTTTTGGAAAAACGTCAATATGTGACGACCCGGGAGTGAGAATGGGTTGGTTAATCCATCCATCCATCCATTTTCTTCCGCCTATCCGGGGTCGGGTCGCGGGGGCAGCAGCTTCAGAAGGGAGGCCCAGACCTCCCTCTCCCCAG